GGTGGGGAGTGTGCACGTGCTGCTTAAGCCAAAGTTACTGTCGAATGCCTTGTATAGTTGGAGAGCGATGTGCCTGCTTGGTCTTTTATTGGGATCCCCCTTCCCTCTTGGATCCCCCTGCAAGGAGTGTACAAGGCGCAGTGCTTGCTAATGGCGATCTGTAAACAAGATTCTTTTCAGTGGCGCCAAACCTACCCCACCAACAGAGCAGGGTATGACTGTCAGTTGTAACAGCTACATATACAGAGCCGTTCTTTGGCCTGCCATCCATTACACAATGAGCTGAGCAGTTTGTGGACCTCTTGTGAGTGAAACCATGTGAGTGAAAACATGTGAGTGAAAATATTAGTTCAGAGAACAGACCCAAAAAGGAATATTCTGTCACTTTCTAAGGGACTTGTGTAACCAGTAAGCTGTGTATGTATGGCCAGTGTCTGTGATCCATTCCTGGGACAAGGTGGGCACCGATCACTTCCATATGAGGTGTCATCCAGAATTACCCATCAAACCTGGTAACCTAGACTAATGCATAGGCAGGAGATGCAGCTAATTGTGACTAGAGCAGAAATTGTGCAGATGAACGCTAAAAGAATCCATCAAAGAAAAAGCAGGCTGGTGATATCAGCAGTAATGTCAGGTTTACCAAGAAGCTTTGGTCTTTCCAGGACCTTCTGCAGTAATGTAATTAGAATCCACACTGTGTGCCAACTTGATTGTGATTAGTGGGAGCCCGGTCAGCAAAGCTCATTGCAGCTCTTTTAGTGCTTTCATGGTTGTGTACAGAAGCATTAACCCAGTTAAACTAGGTGTGCTGATCAGTACTCAGTATTATACTTAATTATTTATGAATCCATTTCACAATGAGTCAGTGATCTAGTCAGGGAGGTGCACCAGAACTAGCAAAACAAGATGAGCTTACTGGAAACAGGACCATGGACAGCTCCTCCTGAGCCTCCTATATCACCTCTCCCTGCATCTTATCCTTCTTCTCTTTGGATCTGTTTTCAGCATTTTTCAGTAAAAAATCAGTAACTTTCATTGGCTGTTTTTTTATTTTATTCAGAATGCAATACCCTTAGAAGATGTCCTGTTTACCCAACACAGAGCCACCCTTCTGTGGTTCAGTGCGGTGATACATTTATGATTGCTACAGAAAGGGATGTAAAGTAGAATAAGTATATTCACAACATATAGTATACTATAGCACACTACTATGCAGTTCCTAAACTGAACAATATACAGTATATGGGGAAATGAAAAGAAAATCTACATTATATAATTGCCTATGACGCAGAGCTGGGTTATCTCAGAGATAAACAAAAAACTGGACATTTGCACACCCAACAGGACTCTTGGAACACAGGTGATATGATCACTCATGTTCTATATGCAATTTGACAGCCAACTTTTAATATGTCTACTCCATTACTAATCATACACTGCTCAATCTAAGAGATTTAAATGTTGCGTGTGATAATCAGGTAGCAGATAATTTACAAGTAAAGCTGAAAACTAGTACCCTGCTAGGAGATTAGAGCTGTTTGAGCATGAAATAATGGAAAATAAGGTTTCAGAGGATAAATTAAGATACCACCCTGCGAATCTGAGGTCTATTCTCACACCCGATACTGTGTGCTCGGAGTTTGCATATTCTTGCCAGGTTTTTGTTGGTTTTCTTTGGGTTTGCCAGTTTTCGCCCACAACTCATATACACACAGATGAAACCGGCCTGCATGTGAGTGACTCTACAACTGCAGCAGACATTAGACTGTAAGCTTCTTTGGGGTAGTAAACGATTGGAGTACACAAAGTACTGATTATATCAGTGAAATAAAAATGGTGTGTGTGTATATATATATATATATTTCAACATTGGTCACTATAGAAGCTGAGAATAGCTCACACTTTTTTATTTAAACATATTGATAAACCTGATCCTAAGGCACTGGGAATGGTATACTGCTGGCAATACATATTAGATGGAGTAAATGGAGCTCTGAGGGTACAAATCCTGCTTGACCTCCAAACTGTCTTCCCCCCAAAATAAGTGCTAATCAAACACAGCTAGCACCAGACGGGCATAAATGTCAGGGAAAATCCATCTCAACTAACCAAAGTTTAGGTCAAGATTGGACACTGTGGCCAGTCGTCATCATCTAATAAATATAAGTGCCGTTATGGAGCCTTTCTCTGGGCAGACATTTCATAGTAAAACCTAGACAATATACAATGTCTGTCTGTTTACAAAATGACACTGCTGAGTCAGCAAGATTACACCTCTGTCTCCCAAATGGTTTTTGAATAAGACAAGTGCAAAGAACAATAGTCATTTGGAAGTAGGTTGATAGGGGTTTGTGTACTGTGCCCTGCCTGATGAAATAAATGCATACCCTGTATATCAAAAATGATCAAATGTCAGAATTTTTGTTGGGCTGCTTGGCAAATCTGCCCTGTCTAAGACCATTTTATGTGTGACTTTCTGTTTCTTGGTCCCTACTGACTTTTTTTTTTACATGGAACAGCATGATATTCATGTTGTGGCCAATGACAATGTTTATAATTTGCCATAAATGTAGCTAACATTATAGAAGATGGGAAAGGGAGTGACTCCAATGGATGCCCTTACCCAACTTCAGACACTGTAGCTGCTGTCAGTATGTGCACGATCATTTTATTTTCAACGCTTGACATGAGGCTTACAGTTCATCTGTAGGAAGAAGCCATCTATATTTTTTCCATACAACAGCAGCAGAGGTGAATGGATGTGAAAATGCAACCCAACCAAGTCTGCTGCTCTGATGTAAATCCCAGAGCTCTATGTATTGATCCACATCTATCTGGCAATCAATAGCAGTGTTTTATGAGGGCATTAAAGGCCCTTTCCACCCTCCAGGCACCGGACTGAACCTCTGCGTTGCTTAAACAATCAGATCCATGTGACCTCTCAATAGATAACATGGAATGCCATTATTTTTTTTTACTAAGGGATTCCCATTTACATAACATGGGGAGCTTTCCTAGTTTATGATTATTACATGGTAAATAATTGAATATCCTTCAGTATTGCTCTCTACCTGGTGTAATTCTTTAAAGAAATGATCATCTTTTACTGTGATGGGTGGGGCTGGAATCCCCTGGGCTACATAACTATTTTGCAGAACTGTAATTTATTGCCTCTAGTGAAGACAGACACATGTATGTAAATTCACCATTGTATGTTATCTTTTTAAAGAAAGAGCAATGATAATCTAAAACTGGCATTGTGCAACCAGCGGATTTCATCTTTCATTAATTAGGATTTGCCAATAGTTGCTGATTGGCTGCTGTTGACTATTGTTCTTTGCAGCATTATACTCAACCTCCGTAAAGCCTGTTTGTTTCCAGTTTTATTGCTTCTGTTTTTAAATGATAATTAAACCATCAATTTAGTGAATTGATGTATTACACAAATGCAGCCTTTTTTCTTAAGACGTTTTCCCTTTTTAAACATTTGAAAGCTTGTGCCTGGTAGAAAGTAAAGAATGCAATATTTTAATTGAAGGCAAATGTAGTCATCAGCTGATATTACCAAACTGTTATCATTATACAAATGGACATAGCACTAAGTTGAAGATGGTACCCTCAACCTTGGATACTTGTAAGTTCATCTAAAACTCGACATACATCTTCCTGAATGTGCTACTTTCACTGACAGGTAATGTTGTCTTCACTATGCTATATACCCCAGGGTGTATTATAGACAGCTGACACTGTCATCACTCAATGGTCAAGACAAAGGCAGCTGAAACTGCAATTATTGTACAGGATTAAGAGTGCGTGCTCTGCTGGCAGTATGCTAACCTATAACAATGTGTTAATGGAAGTTCCTTCTCATGTGACCGTAGGATGGCTTACATTGTGCAAAGCTGCTAACAATGACACATAAATCTCCACTAGCTTGTCACACACCATCCCTCCCTGTTTCCCAGACTGATTAAAAGAACAGGCTCAATCTTCAAATGCTGAGATGGTGAAAAGTATATTGGATGCGGGGAAGCAGCAGGGAGGAGTCTGAGCCCCACCATATCCCATTAACAGAGGCAGCATTTATAATGTGCTACGCTGAGCAGCACATGCTCCCAAGCAAAGCTGAAGGGGCACGATGCCAAACCCATCCTTTACCAGGAAGGCATAGCGCTATAATATACCGGAGTGCAAAGAGATTGATGGCGGGCACTCTATTGACATACCACGCATACTCTCTGGTCATAAAGAGTTACATTGGTTCCTTTATAAAGCAGGAGAAGAATTAATCGTGATATGGAAAGTGCAGTAACCCATAACAACCAATCAGATTTCACCTTGCATCATTTTAGAACAATCAGATCGGTGGAAGCTGATTGCTGTGGGTTGGGGGTTGGGGGGTTGGGGGGTGGGGGGGGGGTGTCAGTCACAACACTTGAATCGCTCCTTTTAATTTAATCCTTTCAATACAAACCTGATACTTAGGCAATATTGAAATATGTTTTGCTTGCATGCTTCATAACAAATCGACTGTTTAGATTAACAGTGCCTTTAATGGGTGTGGTTTGTAATGCAGTTGGCATCTTTCCTATTGCCTAGGGACATAAGGTTAACTAGTCGGAAAGGAGAACACCTGTGTGATTAGGCTCTGATGTAAGCGGCCATTCCCTGGCTCAAGTGCTGCATACCAGTTCCAAGGCAGTGACTCACTGAATGGGTTTAACTTCACTGCCTAGGAACTTGTATGCGGCATACGAGTTAGGGAATGACTGCTTTCAACAGAGCCTTACAACACAGGTGTTTTGCTAAGAGACAGATTTTCTTGAAGTTTACATCTATCATATAGTATCATGCACAGGCAAATATGTTTGTATATAATGTATCATGCATTTGAAAGAGCTGCAGGTGTACGTTTATAAAACCACTGCGCTCTTTCTGCCTTGAGTTACGTGCAGCCACCTAGAAGCAAGGCAATTCCCATCCGGGACACTACTCACCATGATGGAGAAGATCAGTGCCACTATGTTGACTGGCCAAACTGGGCAGAAGCAGGAGAAGATGGCCAGGACCAAATAGTCAGTGGGCCTGCTTTGTTCCTGGGCGGTGGTGGTGGCCGTAGAAGAAGCCCTGGCAAGGCTACCTCTGCTTGGGGAGAGGGGGGCTGACTCCAGCTGCCCTGCAGACACTGACTTGTAGGGCAGGCTGTGCCCATTCTGGTCTAGGTCTCCTATGGACTTGTCACTGGACATGGTGACAGAGAAAGACTTCTTCATGCCATTCTCTTCTTTAGCCTCCGTAGCGGAGGTGAGGAGTTTCTCAGTCTCATGTGCCTCTGCGGGGAGAGGGTTGCCTGAGCCCCCCAGCGCCTTCTCATACTGGGCATCTGTGTTTATGGCCATGACGGTGCTAGTCCTCTGCTCACAACTGCCTAATGCAGTATATTATTCAAAAGAAAAGTGATAAACTTCTCCCTTACGGCTGCTAAAATTCCATGGAGAACGGTAGAGGAGTAGCTCTTGGAAGTAGCAGCCTGAAAATCTTTGTCAGAGAGGAGATTGCTGATCACCGGCACAGGAGCTGAATGGTGAGTTGGGTGGTGTAGGATCCTGTGTGAGGCTCTTGCTTGCTAGATCTGCTGCAGACTGCTGTTGCCCTGCCCCAGCCTCTGCTAAAGGCTTCTCAAGTGGAATCGTCCTCTCAGGACAAACCAAGTCAGATGCTGGCTGGGCTGATGACACAAGCAGATTATTGCAGTTTTCACACTGAGCAGCATCACAGGATTCTCCTGGGTGTTAGCTGAGGAATTCCTCTGCTCTGGAGCTCTCTTATACAGTCATGTATTTCCAGGAGCTTTTCACTGGCTGTTTTCTCAGACTTCGTGCAGTTATTTGTCACTCTCTGCTGCCTCACAATTAAGCCTGGGTTTAATTTAATGTACATTTAAGTATGCAAATTGAACCGCTCATGGGAAAAGCTGGAATAAATCTTGGAATAAAAATTGTGGGTTTATGTTTGTGTATAATAATTACAGCCCTGGATTAACCATTTAAGCGGACCCTGCACCATAACATGAGGTGTTGTTTAGTAGGCTCCCACCTCACATTTTAAAACCTAAGAAAAAAAAGCATGAAGAGAGAAAAGGTAACCTTACCTTACACTGCGTTTTTTGTCCATTTGCCTAGGCGTTGGTGACGTCACTCTGACTTCCCATAGCACTTTGGGAGAACTCCAGATCCCAACTCTTGCAGAAGCACGATGCTGGCATTATACCTTAGGGGTGCTACTAAATGGTGGTATCTTGTATTTTGGTGCAAGGTCTACTTTAATCAAAGCAAGCAAGTATTAGCTTTAGGCACCAAAGAAAAGGGGGCACAGCAGAGCTGGCTATCAAGCCTTTAACTCTTTTACTGCCACAATTGATTTTAGTAGAATCTTTTTTGTGACTGTCCTTATCTGCCCTGTTTGACTTTAATCTGTGTTGTTAACCCCCCCACCTCCAATAAATGGCTGTGATAATTGGCTGCAATGCAGTGCACCACAATAAATGGCATGTGTGTTTTAGCTCAAAAGGTGTTTTCATTGCAACACACATTTACTCTGTACTTTTAAAGCAACGTTTAGGTATGAAGTCAGCTTAAGCCCCCATTCACACTTAGGCGTACCGGTAATGAGTGCCATACATGTTCATGTGCATTCACGCGTAAGGAAAAGTAGCTCATGTAGCAGATTTTGCTACAGGTGGCATGCGTTTTTTCCTGTGCATTTGTGCACATTTTAACGCGCGCAAACACATGAGATAAAAGCACGGTTTTCCAACCATGTTTGGGGTGCCATTAACAAGTAATGGCGCCGCAAGCGCATTGCATGTTTTTGGCACTTCTGTGAACGCTTGTCAAAGCACACTTTTCCCCACGTTTGGCATGCGTTCATAGAACACCTAAGTCTGAACAGGGACTTAAAGAACTCTAGGCAAAAATGTTATTAACTCTTGCAGTTTGGTCCTCCTTTCCATTCTTTCCTCAAGACTATACATATTAGATTTGTGCAGTCTCGTCTGATATCTATTATCCTTTCACCAATTTTGTTGCCCATTTCTGGACTCGTTCTATCCTATCAATATCTTTTTGTACATGCGGTTTCCAAATCTGGACACGTTATTCTAAATTGGGTCTAACTGAGGATCTATAATGGGTTATCAGGACCACCTTCCTCCTGCCGGTGACCCCTCTAGTGATATCTTTGTAGGGGAATCAGGACTTCTTCCTCCTGCTGGGGGTCCCTCTAGTGATAACTGAAGATCTGTTTAGTGGAATCAGGACCTCCATCATCCTGATGGTGATCCCCCTAATGTACCCCAGAATTTTATTAGCTTTCACTGCCTGGCCACACTGCTTGCTCTCGTTGTAGTCATCTAAAAAAAGAAACACCCCCAAATCTTTTTCCTCTCTAGTTCTGGTCAACACTGCACCCCCAATATTGTACTCTGTTATAGGATTCTTTTCCCTAAGTACATTATTTTGCATTTGCAAAAATTGAACTGCAGTTTCCACTGCTTTGACCAGTCTTCCAGCAATGCCAAATCATATTCCATGTTACAGACACCTTCAGGAATATCAACCCTATTAGATACCTATTGTGTCATCAGCACAACTATATACTTTGCCCACCAAACCTTTAGTTATTTAACTTACAAAAACAAATAACAACACCTAATAGAGGGTCACTGAGCAAACAGTTTGGTCAGACAGTGGGGAAAGAGAAGCCAAACCTTGGGCTATTTTTTAGGATGTAGTGCAATGCAGAGCATGGCAGTGGGTTCCTGAGTGTTGGAGTGTGCTGCATTTCAGGTGCATATGGGTGCATTCCTTTAGCGGGTTGGAGTGTAGATGGCAGCTCTGGGTGTCCAGTGGTAGATTTAAGGATGGATTCACCAACTGTATGAGTTTTTAACTGTTTTTGGTATTTTGTCTTACAATAGTGTTCTTATCAATATAATAGGTTTATCTACAAAGCTGTGTTCCGACATTGTGCTTCTCCAGGCATGCCTAAATAATGATGCCCTTTTATATAAGCGCTGCCCCTTGTATCACATTACTATTTTAGTGGTAGTAGAGGAAAGTATGATGCTTATTCATATTTACTTTTAATCTGTGCATACAAAAGAAAGCAGAGATATCTAACCTGAACTATAAAGACCCGTATGACACCTCTCAACATCCCATGCTCTACTTTGCTCGTACAGTTCTTTTGCTGAACTTAGCCTTCAATGTTCAGTGGCAGACATAAAAAGGAAAAAAATATAAGGAAAAAGTTATCCCAACATGTACATTTAACACTTTGGTGCTGCCCTAGACATGGCCATTTTTGTAAATAAACCCTGTTCATATACATAAATATTGCATGGGCGTGACCTACTTGGATATAATCCATGGTTGCCTGTGTATGTACTGTTTTGTTTTAATATATGGTGGGGACATAGTTTAAAGTGACCCTGTTATTAAAACCAAAAATCCAAAATGGGTATACGTGTAAAAGTAAAGGGTGGATATTACTGCTACTCATTCTGCCAAAATACACTCCATTTAAGAGAAATTATCCAACAAAAACAGGTGCGGGATAGTTGAAAGGAACTTCTGTAACCCTTGGGAGTCATATAAAACCATTGAAAGCCATTGGGCCATTGCATCCTTAAAAACACCTTCATTTTGCCTTCCTCATTGACTTCAATGCATTTCATCAAGAGCTCAACATTTTTTTAAAACTCCTGAATCTCACCAACATTTATAGAACATTTCTGTGTATATTTGGATGTACAATCTCAATTTTTCTCATTCCTGATGCTCATAACTATGTACTTGGTAGCATGTTACTGTTTGTCTACAAAATATAATTCAATCTGAAAAATGAAAAAAAAAAGGTCATGTAATTTAATCAGAATGTTTTCCAAGTGAATGTGATGCAAGGGTGTTGAATTGTGGTTTCCTGAAGCTCTGAGGAATTAAATTTGCATAATTATTTTCTACTTTGTAGAAAAATGGGAAAACATTTAAATATTAAACAAACAGAGCATTGTGTTGGCTGATGTGCATGCTGTGGGGGACATGTATCAATCAAACAGGTAACAAAATTGAACACAAATTAGGTTACCTCTCAGTTCACAAAGTGTAGCTGTTGTTTTTTGTTTTTGTATATTTGGGACCCCTGCCTCTGCGACAGACACAGGCCTGAGACAGAATACAAGTGTATGTCAAAATGTATCCTAAATTGATTAATTGCACTATGTATTCTTCATATACCATGTCAATCTCAAGATGTGATTTGCATTTTTTTTGTTCTACTCTTATTCTGTATAATGAAAAATCCTAATAAACTTTTACTTTTTAAAAAGATGTCAAGCCAAAAACTTATTTTCCGTAAAAGGGTGTTTTTAAGGTGTCATATTGCAGCATCTGGGTGGCAGGGGAGCTTGAGTCTCTGCTAATTGGGAGCTCTTACAGTTAGTGTCTTGATGTTCCTAAGTTCCCTGTGCCTCCACGTAAAGGTTCTTGTGAGTAGGAGAGGAATTTTCCTAGTTCCCAGGATAGATCACACTTTCTTGCCCTTTAATGAAGTAGATCTACACCAGAAGGCAGCTTTGAACTTGGTAGGTCAGGAGGACAAAGGAGGTGTATTACCCAAAACGCACACAGGGCTCCTACAGCTCCTTGGATTGCAGTCACTAGGTGGGTCTCAATATCCCCTGTTCCAGTGATAATTTATAAAGGAAACTCTTTTTATGCCCACATGGCCTCCAGGCATAAAGCCTACTTACATAGAAGGGTGATTCCCCCTTAGGCCTGGGCTCCAGCCATGGGACCTCAAAACCAAGCACCCAGCCTTCTCACACAGAGAGGTCATACCCTCTATGTCTGGGCTCCAGCCTTGGTGGCCTCAAAACCAGGCACACAGCCTTCGCACTCAGAGCAGTGATACTCTCTATGCCTGGGCTCCAGCCTTGGGAGCCTCAAAACCAGGCACACAGCCTTCTCACACAGAGCAGTGATACCCTCTGGGCCTTTGCTCCAGCTTTAGGGCCTCAAAACCAGGCACACAGCCTTCTCACACAGAGCAGTGATACTCTCTATGCCTGGGCTCCAGCCTTGGGGGCTTCAAAACCAGGCATACAGCCTTCTCACACAGAGCGGTGACATCTTCTATGCCTGAGCTCCAGCCTCAGACCAGGCACACAGCCTTCTCACACAGAGCAACTATACCTTCTCGCCCTGAGTTCCAGCTTTGGGGCCCTCAAAACTAGGGGCACAGCCTGCTTACACAGAGAGGTGATACCCTCTAGGCCTGGGCTCCAACTCTGGGTCATCAACCAAGGCACAACATTTTCTTAACAGCCACCCTTTTCATGGTCCTCCTCTTTCCAGGAGTAATGAGGGAAAAAGGACAGTAGAACAATACATACCTGTTTTGTTAAAGCTAGATGACAGAACAGACAAGACTCTCTGTAACTATCCCAACAGAGTAAAGGTAAGCATACACTAGTAGATTTTCAGTCTGCAATTTTCATTTCTGCCATGAACCCTTGTTCCATAATAGCTCGAATACCCCATCAAACATAATCAAATGTCTTTTCAGGAATCGTTCGTTAGCCATACTAACCAACCAATTTTTGACGAACGACAGAAATAATTTCCTTTTGCGCATGTGCTGTGTTCTTGCTCTGATTTTTGTCGACCGAAAACCTAATTGATTCATCGATTTTCATTCAGCCCGAGAAAGATTTTCCAACGATCGAAAATTTTTGAGCAGTATTACAGTAACAAAAATCGGTGGTGTCCCATCAACTGTTCAATCTTCGTTGAAAAGCCCATTGGTGTTCCATT